GGCTCGGGCCAATCCTGGATGGCTTTAATTTTCTCTGAGGACATGGACAATCCATTTGGTGAGAGAATGTACCCGAGGTACTCCGTCGTGTCAGTATGGAACTCACACTTCTGCGGATTGGCAAACAAGCCGTGAATGCGGAGCCTATGCAGGACCTCGCAAACATGTTCCTCATGTGAGGCCATGTCAGCGGAGTAGATAAGAATGTTGTCAAGGTAGACTACCACACACACATCGAGGAGATCAGTGAAGACAGAATTCACGAACCGCTGAAACACCGCAGGGGCGTTTGACAGACCAAAGGGCATTACAAGCCACTCATAGGAACCGTAGCGCATGCGGAAAGAGGTCTTCCACTCGTCCCCAGCAGCGATGCATACCAGGTGGTAGGCGTGCTGGAGATCGAGCTTCATGTAGACTTGGGCACAGCTTGGGGCGTCTAGGAGGTCAGAAATTCGTGGGAGTGGATAGCAGTCTTTCTTCGTGATCTTGTTGAGGCCTCTAAAGTCGATGCAAAGATGGAGGGAACCATCCTTCTTGTGGACAAAGAGCCCGGGGGCGGCGTGGGCGGAGGATGATGGGTGGATGAATCCCGATGCCAAGTGCTCATCGAGGAAAGTGCATAGGGCCTCAAGTTCAGAAGGAGAGAGAGAGTACAAAGTACCCAGTGGTGGATGCGTACCTTCCTCTAGCTCGATCTTTAGGTTGAACTCACGGTGCGGCGCAAGTGTATTGGCTTTCTTCTTGCTGAAGACGTCTGCAAACTTGTGGTACACCATTGGTACGGCTGAGAGGTCAATAGGCTCGGGGGGGACGGATGGATTAGTAGCTGCAGCATGCAGCTCACTGAATAGAACAGAAGTGCTCACGGCAAACGCTACCGAGCCTTCAAGTCGACAGGCCTTGGTGAAAACCTTGGTGCTGACAAGCTTGATAGGTGGCGCATGGCTAACGGATGGAATGCTTACTGACAGATCGGGATCCAGAGGTTCAGCGGAAGCGCTTATAGGTTCTAGGTGGGATTGTGTCAGTGCTTGGAAGGTTATACTACTCGATACCCAGTCAATCGACAGATTGTTGCGGGCGAGCCAGTTATGCCCAAGTACCAGAACACACGTGCCATCTAGCAGAGTGACGTAGAAAGTCGACAGGATGACGACACCGGACAGAAAGCGGAGCGGAAGGTTGATGGCCTGTGTAATAAGGTTATTAGTAGTGCCATCAAACAGGCGGAGTTGAAGCAGGTCAACAGAGTAGGTTTCGAGACGGTTCTGATTAACAAAACTACTATCTACAAAACAATCGGATGAGCCGGAGTCCACTAAGGCAGGATAAATCCCTCCAGGTAGAGCAGCGGCAACATAGGCGGATTCCAATGACGAAGAAGAAGAAGAAACAGTGGAAGGAGGAAATATTTTTGAGCTGGGGACATTACCCCTTGAATCAGGAAACAAATGAGAACCAGCGGCATACCCCTTCGAAGGCGAAACAAATGGAAAGCCAGGGGCATTCCCCTTTGAGGATGGAAGTCGACCATAATAGAAATAGGAACGGAAAGAGAGTTAGGAGAAAGAGCGGATGTGTTAAGGCAAACCACTCGAAGCGCACTTTCGCGATTGTTACGACCATTCGAGAGTGCTGGACTCGAAAGATCGACGACTAGTTTTTTGCCTCGTCAGAGGCGTCGAGTTCAGCGTCGGGCATGTCGGCGATCGCCTGACGGGCCTTAGTCGCGTTGGAAGACGATTTTCGACAGTCCCTTGCCATGTGGCCAGGCTTGCCACAGAAGAGGCAGAGCTTGTTGTCGACTCGGCATTGACGCTCTTCAGGAGTGAGCTTACTGTCTTTTCCGAGTTTTGTCGGAAGGTCGGAGGTGAAGGAAGTAGGCTTAGCGCCGGATGGCTTGTCCTTAGGTGCCTTACTACCAGAGGCGGAAGCGGAGGAAGGAAGAGACAACGAGGTCGAAGAGTTCTTGTTGCCGTCAGATTTGGCGGGCTTAGAGGATGACGGAGCGGAGGGAGAGGCGGCGTTGTTGCAGGAAGGTCGTACGCTGTCTTGGCGGCATTCCCAGTAATGGGTGTCAAGTTCTTGTGCAAGATCACAAAGATCCCACAACGAATCGGGCCTACCAGATTGATAGATCTCATCTTTAAGGCGATCAGGCAACCCATCATAAAAAAAGAGATTGAAGCACACCTTCACCGTATCTGCATCACTGTGAAGCGTAATGGTTGAACTCGACGATGTATTTACTAATCCTTTGGTTGTCCTTCATGACCAAGTTTTTTAATTGATGCTCCGCGTCGTGGGCAGGATTGTGTGAACCAAAGTTTTTGCGGGGTTCCTCAATGAAGCGTTCCCAGTCATCTTCCCAGGGAGGTGCTCATCCACCAGGTGCGCGTAAGAGATCGGGTTCGAACCAGTTGAGCACGGAGCCCATTAGGAATGACTGAGCATGGATAACCTTCTTACAGTCGGAGCTAAACGCCTGAGGATGATCCCGGAAATTTAGTTGACACTGAACTAGGAACGTACGGAGCTTTTTTTGGTCCAACCCATCAAACTGGTTAGGCTTGCGCACCTTCGTGCGATAATTGTCGATCGAGGCGGGTGGCGGAGGTGGCAGCTGATGAGGGACATTGGATTGGGCGAGAGCCGCAATGGCTCGAGTTAACTGAATCAGGATGCTTGCCTCGTCTTGCACGTTAGCAGGATCATCAGGGTCAGGGTTGTTACCAACAGGACCATCAGGGGGCGGAACAACTGGGTCAACTGGTGGTGGCGGCCTTGACGAAGATGGCGGAGGATGAGGTGTGGAAGGGTCGGGAACTGCGGTGGCGTCAACATCGCCTTCCACTTCAGCCTCAGATCAGGACCTTGTAAAAACAGGCATTGACGATCATTGGCCTCTGCGGTCAGCTGTGAAGCTAGCAAAGGGTGTGTCGATGTCGAGGTCGTAGTTGTCAGGAATCCCGAGACCAGATTGGTGCTGTTGTGTGGAGGTGGATGGCTCGCGGGTCTGCGAACGAGTTACGTAGTGTCTAGAAGCCATTTGAATGCGCAGTGAGTTCGAATATACTGTCAGAAACTGTGTTCAGGGTGATCGCGGGAAGCAGAGCGGAGTACAGCGGCGTGAGTGGTCACTTAGCTAATGAACTACTCCGTTGCAAGGCGTCGTGGGGTTGGGACTTCAGCTTCAACGACTTGGCCAGAGCGTTGCACCACGTGTTCTAGGCTGTCCCGTATTTCACATTAGTGGGAAAGACCTTGCGGCGACGTTGACTTAAGCAGGGATGAAGTTGAGAGACGAACTTAGGATGAAAGTACTTGGGGGGGAATTCTAGTCGATATTCGAACTAAGGTACATCGACAGTAAACTACAAGTATAAATAAGAAAGGAGAACAGAGAAGGGACCAGTCGGTCCAGCGCGGGATGGGAGCGAGATGATAAGTACGACAGAACCAAAGAGCGATGAGGACCAGGGTAATGGAACAGAAGAAATGAATGGAACAGAGGATGGCGAAGTTGGGAGGCAGAATGGATAGGCTGACAATCTAGGCATGTGGATCAGAATGTCAATATACGTATAAATCAAATATCAATAAAGGAATAATCAATTGTCAATAAAGGAATGTCAATAAGGAGCGGATCAATGGCAACCATAACAACCGCTAGTTGGTTAAGCGAGTGAATAGAATAAAACGGTACCAGCTGAATGGTTGAGGAACCCAAGTGGTGGCGGGAGAACGAAGGAGGCGCTGCTACGGGGCCGTAGAACGGTGTCATATCCCGGAATCCCGACCCCGCGCACTCCCACCACATCACACCTTCCTAACAACCTCACCATCCCCTACACCATGCCTCCCCACTCTCCAAGTCACCTTCCCTCCTGACTGTCTCAGCTCCGGTCTGGTTGCAGCACACCGAACCTTGGCCACTCCCATCCCGGAACCTCGGTCCTGAGTCGGAACATTTGGAGACCCTGGATTTGCTCCGTTATCCTGACGGACCTCCGACATCCCGTGACTTGCCCTTAAACCATTCCTCCACCCACTTCATTTATTGGAGTCACCCAACATCCTTCGGATACGCAACTCCGCTTTCGGAGCTACCCGCATCCTTTGGTGATCTCCCCCATGTTATCACTTATTAGTCATCTTCCATTCTTAGCACGACTACCTTCTTACTACCATTCAGTCGGCTAATCCCCTTTACCCATTTGTCTTCCCCATTCATTTTCCGGCCTCCAACTCTGCCCTCCTTGGCCTGACACCTCGGTTCCCCGTTTTAGATATCGTCCGGAACCTTTCGGTACCTCTCGGTATCATTCAGTACCTTTCGGTGTTTTCCCCATTTTGTCATTTCGGGCTTTGACTAAAGTCCTTCCCATCCTCCTTTATAAATACACGTAGATTAGAACCTGTAGTTCCTCAGTTCTAATCTTGACTAAAATGCCACCCAAAGTCCCTCTGAGTGAATCCTGTCCCCGTTCTACAAGACACCTCAGACATAAGAAATACAAGGACTAACTGAGACGTAACGGAGGCACAGCGCTCCCTCCGAGTCGCTGAGGCTGCATCCTTCTTAGAGCCTCTTGTACCATCCAGCAGAACCAGGCTCCCTGAGAAGCTTCGGTTCACTACCGGAGCCCTCGGACCCCCCTCTAGTTGAGCTCCGCCTGCATTCGGACTCATGCATTTACCCCCTCTTCCACAACCTCGGGTTTTTAACAAATGGGAACCACTATCGGCGCTGCTAAGTGATGGGCAATGGCAAGATTAACGGGCACGAGTAACGGTGCAAGAGTGGGGGTGCAGAAAGTGGTAGAGGGGTGGGGACTTTGCAGGGCCATGACACTTCGGTTCACTACCGGAGCTCTCAGATCCACTCTAGTTGAGCCCCGCCTGCATTTGGACTCATGCATTTTCCCCTATGATCCGGGTTTTTGACAGAGACTACAAGCACCAGAGTTCAAGGGGGCTGTTACATGTGGATTCTGACAAGAGACTATGCCACATAAATGGCCCCTACTCCTTTCATGTTCTGCACAGAGTTTCTTTGAGTGAAAATTAAGTGGAAGGTTAGGGCATTTAGGCATTGCACAAAGGCAATGTCCCATGCAAATGCCATCCACCACAATCATATCAACCTCCTGATCATCATTAATTGTCACTTGCTGGTAGGAAGGAGTTAGCAAGGGAAAGTAAAAATAGTAAGTAGATCACATACATACTGCAGTTCCCTCTTGCAGGGATCGGTATGGGTGGAAGCACTGAGCACACCGATGAGCAAGTGCACCTTGGATTGTCTTGACAGCTCCAGGGAAAATTTTTTCTTGCATCTTTGAAGCCAAAGCTGTGATGCTTGTGTGTGATGGAAGAACAAGCTCATGATTGGTAGCTTTGCACAACTTGAGGGACTGTCATATCTGTGCATACCCGATCCCGACCCGACTCCCGGACCTCCTCCCTCACCACCTCCAGAGTCCTACCCTACCACTGTCCGTTCCGATATTCACCTTCAGTCCTGGCACCACACCTCCTCTCACCTCCCATTCCACCTCCACACCTCCATCCCTCTCCTGTCCTATCTCCATCCGCTCCGATACCCACCTTGGACTGAACACCACCCCTCTTGCCACCCTCCTACTACTCCTCCTCCCACTCCTTCCACTTCCTCCCCCCAACACCTCCATCCTTCTGTCATCCTCCTACTCTTCTCCCATCCACTCCGATACTCACCTTTGGACCTGACACCTTTCCTCTCCACCACACCTTTCCTCTCCACCACACCTTTCCTCTCCACCACACCTTTCCTCTCCACCACACCTTTCCTCTCCACCACACCTTTCCTCTCCACCACACCTTTCCTCTCCACCACACCTTTCCTCTCCACCACACCTTTCCTCTCCACCACACCTTCCCTCTTCCCTCTCTCCTCTCTCTTCCCTCTGGTCCTCTTCCACTGACCTCCTGCCAAGTTACAACCTTCCACTGCTGTCCTGGACTTCGTACTCAGGCACCGCTCATACCTTTGCTCCGAGCCTCCGTCATAGCTCCTACCTCAGACTTTGACTCCGCCTTGGCCTTAGTCCATTGCATTGGTGACCTCATACTATGTAAACACTATTGCCAATATTCCTCAGACTTTCAACCCCACCTCCGTAACCTCCGTAACCTCCATAACCTCCGAGCTCCATGGATCACCTTTGGCACTTTTGCCGCTTGTAATGTATCTCTTGCATTTTCCCCTCATCCCTATTTGGACTGCTGCTTCTTCCCATTCTAGCCAGTTAGTCATCATCCCCACTTCCCCTCATCCTCCTGCCCCTCTGGGCCTCACCCTCCTTACCTCCTTTTGGACGTATCACAGGTTCTGCCTTATGACCTTTGGTACTGCTCCGCTTCTGTCATCCCTTTGTTCCTGTTCGGACGCCTTCGTTCCGATTCGGATCCCCTTTGTTTCCTTGTGCTTTGCCCCTGTCAGGGCTCGGTCCTCAATCAGGGACAGCCCGACCTCAGGCCTAGGTGTGTGCAGTGTTCCGGGTGGCTGGGTGCTAGACCCTGTCCTCAGCTCCTCAAACTCACTGAAGGGACTAAGCAGGGATTGAGTTGATGTCAGGGCACACACCCTGACTAGCCCGGACCCGGACCCGTGTCCGGACCCGCTTCCACCTGCCGCACTTCCCGCACGCTCTGGACCCGGTTCCTACCCCTTCATGTGACTTCTGGGTATCCCTGGAAGTTTTGCTGATATTGTGGCCACTGTGGGAAGATGAGAAGTTAGCTTCCTTCTCATCTCCTTACCCACAGTAGGATTGTGCCCTGGATAGGGCTGGCCAGACCAGAGGCTGTGGACATAGGGGAGGGTCATGGGGACCTGGGAGTCATCCCCTGACAGTTGAGAAGAAGGGTAAGTTTCCCTATTCCCTGCTTGGCTACTATAAAAGGGAAGTGTACTGTACAGTTCATAACGTGACTCTGGGTAGAAGCCGAGCATGTTCCTGCAACTTGGAAAAGGTGTCACATGGGTTAAGGCAAGTTGCTCGCCTTGACCCACGTGATTTTTCCTGCAGGCTCACATGCGGGCTGAAGTTGTGAGAGATATGTAGGGATGGGGAGGTCAGGGAAGTGGGGGAAGTCTGGGAGGGTGGTTCTGGGGTGTGGTTGGGTGCCCTGACAGCGGGGTCAGGGGCTGATCCCTGACAGCCCCCTCCATTATATATATCGGAGCTTGTACATACTTGTTTTAGCCCTTAGTCTACTAGTAAAATCAACCTGAAATGCCCCCTAGAGACTTCCTGCTTGCCTACTGTGAAATTAAGGACCAAATGGACAAACAGCAATGGCACAGCGCTCTGCTTGAGTCGCTGAGGCCAAGGTCCCTCCTGGCTAAGTCTCCGGTTCCCCTCCAGAATCGTCCACCCTCACCCAGTTCTAACAGGGACTCATGTAAGACAATTAACTTCCATGCATGCTTTGGAAGCAGGGAAATCTTATCCTTCCCATATCACTGTGAATAGAATGATGCAAAGCCCTCAGATGACATATGTGCAGTATAACGTAGATTGGACTGGGTTTGAGCAACTTGCCGATTAATCCAGATATTACCTCCAATGTGGAGATAAGCTGCATCAGGATTAAAGATATTGGTAAGTTTCCCATTGATGGAAGTGCGATAGTGATCTGGAAAGTGAGATGTATTGCAGGACTGGCAGTTTCCCTCTGCAAGCTGGCCAATGTAGACACCATTATCCTCCAACATCCATATATCCACACATTGTCTAGTTTGCTTCAACCATCCACCACACACTTGGCAGTCAAAATAACTGGGTCCTAACAGGGTTGGTTGTGGATGAATGAGGTGTGGGTCTGAAAGGAATTCATGTGAAAGCCCAAGTCCATTTGCAGCTTCAAGGATAAGATAGTTCTGGGTCTTTTGGTCCAGTTGGGGAAGGGCAAGTGAGTCCTGGGAGAATAGGTGGGCACTGAGACGACGTATCCATGAAGATGGAAAGTTGGGATTAAGGGTTGCTTGGGATTGGAGATAATGGTGATGGAGATATTCCCCATTGCGCAGGATGAAAATAAGAATAACAGCCATAGCATAGCCCGTGATCCTTGGAGTTGCTGAGGTGAATGTCTCTGCAAGGCCCATTGCAGTTGAAGCATACACCATAGGCAGGAAACACAGGAGTACAAAGACAATGAAAACATTCCTCAATTTGAAAGGTAGGTACACATTGGATTTCCTAATGTTACAATCATTCTGCTCAAAAATTTGATTGAGAAATGACAAACTGAGAATTACTTATTCTGGTTTGGCTCCACCCCATTTGCCTTGAGATACTTGAGATATGTGATGATTTCTTGGAGGCTATGAACCTTTGTCTCAGAGTTTGGATCATCATATGCATACTTGAGGTCCTTGACTGGTTCATTGTCCCATACTGATTCAAGACAACGTGCCTGAGGGTTGTTCTGGAACTCCATGTAGGTACTGTAGATGATAAGATGGCAAGCAACAGTACTGTCACTACAGGAAGTCACAGCGATATAGAGCTCTCAGAGGGGGACAGCCTTTCCATGGCCAGGAAAGGAAGCAGGGATAATTGGAACAGATTGAGTGAACTCCTTCACAATTGCTAGCGTCTCATAAATGCTGTGAGCTGTTGTACAGTGAGAGTCCTTCAAAGCATTGAATTGGGCGTGCTTCTCCATAGTTTGCCACACCTTCCAGAGGTTACTGAGTTCCCCAAGGGAAGCCTTTCCAATTGTGGCAGAAGGGGCTGGTTCAGTAGGTGGTGTATATGGGATAGTGGGATTCATTGGATTGGGGTGAGGAATAGAGGGGCCAAGCTGAGTAGTTTGGGTAAGAGTGGATGTTGAGTTATAAATGTAAATAATCCTTCGATGTTCATGAAGAATATGAGATACCAGATTCATCTGAGTAAATCATTGGGAAAAAAATGAAACTTTGGGTTTATGACAGCTAGAGATAGAAACTCACTTGTAATCCAATCAGTGCCTAGATACTCCTGGGCAGTGGAAAGAATATCCTGCATCAAGACACTCCATCCATCCACTTCAACCCGAGTGGATGGCCAAGCAGCATGGCTATAGGGGGAAATTACATTGTTCCGTGGAGATGACCCAGGACCAATGAATTGGATTGTAACTTTCAATCCTAATAATGGGAGAGTTAATTCCTGGATAATGGGAGTATTTATTAACATTTAACATACCACTCAAAAGCTGAATAGTATCTTGTTCTTTGTTATCTTCATCCTGTTTGTTTCTGTCTTCATCAACATCCTCATCACTGCTGGGGATATCGAACTCTTCAAAGTCACCAGTTGCATCATCTCTGCTTTCAGTGTCCACTGCACTTGGAGCAGTATCCTGTAATAATAAGGGTTTACTCTCAGGTATGTATTAAGTAAGTTAAAACTTACTGAAATTTGAAGAGTTGATTTGGACTTTGCTGATTCAGACATGGAGTCAGAAATTGCAGTGACTCCCTCAGCAAAGTGTGTTTGCTGAGTAGCACCCTTCCCTTTGGAATCCTATCTGAAAGGGTTGGGAGTTGATTTTTTAAAGTTATTTTTGCAAAGAAAAATTGGCTCACATCTTGTTTTGCCCTCTTTCTTCCTGCTTTAGCTGCCTGGGCTGTAGAGGAAGGTGCAGTAGGGACTTTTGGTTCTGTACTTGCAGCCTGTTTGTGAGTTTGACCTGGAGGGTGTCAGGGCACACCCACCTGACCCTGCGCCGTGCCGCCCTACTCCGCTCCCCCGCTACCACTCCCTGTTTCTTCTTTCCCCTTCCCTTCTTTCTTTCTTTCTTTCTATTTCCGTTCCATGGCCGACTTCCCCTTCTCTATGTATTACTACACACTTAACCCCACTCCCCCGATCGCCACACCCGCCGTGCGCATTCCTGCTCACAGAGCGGCACACCTCCGGGATCTCCCACGGAGATACCCAGGGGAGTGTGGCTGTGCACGGGGATGATGTGGCCCCCCCCACGTGACCCCAGCCGCATGTATATAATAGCACCTGGGGTGGGAACAGAAGAAGCAGCCTTCTTCTCAACTTCCCACTTCAGACTAAGTGGTTGGGGACGCTCACCCCACGACGAGATCGCCGCTACGCACAGCCGCCACTCGTCCCACCAAGTCCCACACACAGGGACCTCGCCGCTTTCGGAGCTGTCCCTGACAGAGGGGCAATGGAGGGGCCTGGTGCTAAGTCATTATCATTATCACCTTCAGCCACAGTCCCAGTCCCATTCTTAGCAGCTGCAGAGGCTTCTTAGTGTTTTGTCACTTAGAGCCACTAGCCAAGGTTGAATCCTGGGCCTTCTTCTGGCTGCCTGAGGCTGGGGTGGGTTTAGGGGCTTGAGGAGCCCCTTTGTCATGAATCCTGGTGCTCCTACGCTGCCCAGTCTCTGATTGTTGACCAAAAGGGTGAGCCATGAGAGGTGATTGATATTCAAGCTCAAATAAAGCACAGTAGGGTGCAGTGATAGTTGTGTGAGTGTGAGGTGGTAGCAAGTGCGAAAGTTTGACACAGCCACATGATGTCACATGACAGTTCATAAGTGCTTGTGACATCTCATGACCCATCATACATGTTCATGGAGCATCATGAATGTCCATGATGCATCATGGGACATTATAGGATTTTACATGATGAGGAAAGGTCAAAATAAACATATGACACTTCATGACCCATCATGACAGGTCATGACCACTCATGAACCTTGTCAGCACATGACAGTTCATGACAATTTGTCACAGACTGTCATGAAATCCAAATTTTTGAATGTAAAAAATGTCTGATTCAATTCAATTGTCATGACTCCTCATGATTTCGTGACACAGGATTACACTTTTGGAGAGTACCTCCGAGATACAACAACCTGGGGAGCAAGGCTCCCCAGAACAACAACAACACCAGATAAGTGCCATGGACTACACAATGCATGCGGCACAAATGAGTGCTGCAAACCAACAACCATCCATGTTGCCAACAGGCACCACATACCCCCAGCCTCCCCAAAGGGGCTTCCAACCATACGCAGTGCAAACTGCACTGATGGTGCAACAAGCACCATTCCAGGGGCAGCATTTGCTGCTGCAGCCCCAGGCATACTCCCCAGGGAACTTCCCTGGCCAGATCAACCCCTGGATTGGCCAATTCAGCCCAGGTCCAACAACACCTCAGCCAAATGCAGGCTGGGAATCAGCTATCGCATCAGCAGTAGCTGCTCAGACAGGTCAGCTCCACCAGGAGCTGAAAGAGATGAAGTCCCTTGTAGGAGGGAGATGAGGGAGCAACAGTGGCTCCTTGTCCAGACCATCCAAATGGGCATGGTCTGATAACCCGAGGGCATCAGATGACACCTGCAACAATTGTGCCCATTGGAGGTGAAAATACAACAGGGCACAAAGAGATGCCAAGGGCATCTTCGCCTCTCTGAAAGACACAGAGAGAGAAGTCGATCTCCAAAAGAAGGAGATCAAATTACTAAAATGCGGGCTCAAAGAAGCATGTGCACTGGCAGACCTCGCTGCCAAACCCATCATGACAGGGGCCTCCCAGGTCAGGGGGAGGGGATACGGTGCCAGGGCACTGACTATCCCACCACCCCGTGGGCAGGTGACCCTGTCTGGGTTGCATAAGGGCCCGCCCTCAGAAGGGCAAACCCATGTCAAGGGGAAGAGGGAGAGTGGTAGGCAACTGATGGCAGACCCCAAAACAGGGACCACTGCCAGAGGCAGTGGGCTGCCGAGTACCTCAGCACCCTATGGGCAAGCCACCCTGCAGGGAAGTGTCCACATGTTATATGAGACCGCTGAACTCAATGAGTTCGGCAAAGTTGAAGCTCCAGTTGATGTAACAATCGACCCCAACTTCCCCATGAGGAGAATAGCGGGGTCAGTGTCAGAGTCTGGATTATTGTCGGAGTCGGAATACTGTCAGAGATCTGGAATGCTGTCAGAGACTGGGAATATTGTTAGAGTCTGGCAGACTGTCAGAAGACGGATAGAAGATGGATTGGGTTTCTGTCTGAGTCGAGGTCGGAGGTGGTGCAGAGTTCTGTTGGAGCGCGCGTGCGGACACGCGGGCGGAAATATGCGGCACGTCCGGAAGCGCTGTTCAAGGTTAGCAGAGTGGGATCGCGGCCTCAGCGACTCAGGTGGAGCGCTGTGCCCTGAGCTTGACGTTTGGGGGAGATCCCGTATTTACAGATTGACACTCACAGCGGACTTCAAACAAGACTTGTGGGTGGAGCAGACCTGTAGGAGGAGTGTGGACTCCGCAAGCACGGACTCAGAGGGGGGAAGCCCCCTTTGCAGAAGGAGAGACTCAGACCAGACAGGGGGGGTACTCTAGTTGATTTCAGACTAAGGTCCCCGAAAGTATTTACGGGATATAAATAGGCAGGAGGGAAACACAGAAGGACCGGTCAGTCCGGCGCGGTCCAGCACGGAAATAAGCGGGGATTGTCAAACTGAATGAAGGACAAGAGCCCGGGAAATGGGAGGCAATGAACTAAACAAAAGCGGATCAAGTGCCAATATTGACAGGTAATAAGAAGTGCATCAGCACATGGATCAAGTGCCAATATTGGCAAGTTAAGCGAATGAATGGATGAACAATATAGGCACTTGGCAAGGAATGAATGGTATGCTGCCAAGTGACAAGATGGCCAGAGAAAAGTGGAGGTCAGCGCGCGGCACCGATACAAGTCCGCAAATAAGCGGGGTCGGTGCGGTGCCGACACAGGTCCGTGAAGGGACATGGAAATCAGTGCGGTGCTGACAAGTCCGCAACAGAGGGTGGTCCATCAGTGCCATCACAAACAAGGGCAGCATGATGGCCAGCAAGGTCAGAGGGGAGTGTTGGCCTGACCACAGGGTGTGGAGGGCAACCAGGAGTGGCAGAGGTCCAGAGGGTGCGGAGGTGGGCAGAGGTACAGATGCGGGTGGAGGTCCAGATGCGGGCAGAAGTCCAGATGCGGGTGGAGGTCTGGATGCAGTGCATGGTTGATAGGGCAGGGGGCCAGACATCGGATTGGGGGCTGGTTAGATTGGGTTTCGGGTCAGCGGATTCGCCTATCGGCATTGATTCGCCGCTGACGGAGCCCCAGGATTTGTCGGTCATGACAGTCAGAAGTGGCACACAATGCTGCATATGCTTGGTGGACAAGCATGAGTGGAAAAGAATTCATACACTGGTACGAACAGGCTGAAGCTGCCTTCAAAAGTGGCAAGGTACATAGAGTCCTTCACAGAAAAGCGAAGGAAACTTCTTGGGACTCCCGAGTATTGCAAGACTCGTGGAGGAGTACAATTCCCTGGAGAACAAGGGAAAAATCTCCTGGGAAAGTCTAGGCAAAGCTGCCTATATAAAGTCCCAGTTCAAACCACTCAGGACTCCTGAGGAACGCGCTGCAAGAACTGCGGAGCGGGAAGTGAAAGCTCCCAAATACTGGGAAAGAGATGCAAGTCTCTGTGCGGGACAACCAGGCCAGCGACCACCCCTCCCCACAGGAAGAACGGTAGACCTACTGTACTCTACACCTGAGCCAAGCAGCTCAGGAATGCAACAACCTGCTCCCACCCAGGGAGCACCCACTTTGTCAAGCCCACAGCTTGAATGTAGCCCAGGCTACATCATTGCATCCGATGCAGCAATCAGATGTCCAGATGAACAACCTGGAGGAAAACCCTCCTCCAGGGTAATAACTCTACCCTTGAGGAAAGGGAAAGTGACATGGTAATACACCATTGAGGTGCCCATGAAAACACCTTCCCCCAACTTGAGGCCCTGCACACAATATTGTATGCGAGGAACTGCAAGTAACAATTGCGGAAATCTCTACTTCGTCAAAAAAACCCACATCCACCACCACTCATGTGTAAACACCATTTACACATGAATCCTCATGGAACAAGTGAGGAACACCAAAGACATACAACCTTTGGGTCGAAATTCATTTTCAAAAAACTCCATTACTTTCCTCTCTGTGATACCCATGTATCGCCATTCACTTCAAAGTGATGACCCCACACTCATTTATTCCCAAAAATTTTTTTCTCTCTCTTTCACCGACATGTACAAATTGCCCACTTTAAAGTGGCAACAATAAAACACTCATTGATAATTTCAAACTCAATGTAACTCATTTTCTAAATTTTATTCTCTTCATCATCAACCTTGTATGCATTGCGAATGCAATGCAACGGGGGAGAATGTCAGGGCAATAGCCCCGAACCCCGAGCCATATGTAATTAAAGATACATATAGTCACATGGGTAAGCGGGAACCTCTGGTTAACTGCTTACACACCACCGTAAAATACACACCATTGTATCACTTATGGCTCTGTGTGCTGAGCTACCCACTGAGACCTCACACACAGCCATGCACTGCATCTGCACCTCTGCCCACCTCTGCATCCTCTGCACCTCTGCCCACTTCTGGTTGTCCTTGACACCCCTGTAGTCAGGTCAACACACCCCTCTGTACCTTTGCTGGCCATCAT